TATTGCCCAAAAAAATTCTTAAACCAAAATTAATGCCAACTGGACCCTACTACTAGGTCAATATTTCTTTCACCTTAAACATTGATAACATCTGAAATTGGAATCATTCGATCGTCAATCTTTTTTTTTGGGATTTCCATTCCAGTTTCGAAGGGGTTGCCCTTTAAATGTTAAATTATTTAATAATTTCCATTTTTTCTCTTTAATGAATTTTAATTTTCTAATTATGCAGCTATTGTTTAACGGATGCGGCACATTCTTTGGGCAACTGGTAGTTAACTCGTATTAACAATTATCGTGTTTGCAAAATCAGATATATCGATGCATTTATGTATTTACAGACCTTTCCCAATGGGTTAAGAGACAACACCGGTTAAGTCTTACCGTAATTTCACACTAAGTGTTCTCTAGCACATCAAAAGCTCATTAAATGTAATCAATAATCCACTGCATTAAAGTAAAAGGTAAACTCTTATTTTGTTAGCGAAATTTCCTTATATTTCCTCAGATCTCAACAAAGAAAATTGATTTGGCGTATAAAAGGAAAGCACTTCTTTTCTCTGGTTATTCAAAAGTATTTAAAGAAAGTTTCAATAACAAAATTAATAGCGAAACTATATTAGTGAAACCAAAACCAATACCGGGACTATATCAGCAAAATCTAGACCAAGACTAGAAGTGTTTGAAAATATTCTAGTATAATAGTATCAGATGATAGCTCTACCACCCACATTCGAATATTCCAAACCTTCTTGCACCTTTCGGTCCAGTTCATCCCAGAATTTCTGAGAAGAATCCTATAGATATTAGTAAGCATTCAAGTAGAGAACCTCCCTAAAAATATTAAAAAGCATTCTAGTACATTCTTACTTACACTATACTAAACGGGTCGGGTGTTTGGTGGCTGATAGTCGACCCACAAACTTACACGCCCACCAAACTTGAACAGTGGTCAAAATGCGAAAATGCGCTAGGTCGACTACTTTTAATCACCATTTCTCCCACACCACCACAGACCGACTTGCAACCACTAGGAGGAATGGTAAACATTTTGAATGATAATGATAATTTACTTAGTAAAAGGATTTAGAAATGCTTCCTTTCTAAGATGTAGTGTTATACTAATGTGCTCCAAAATCACCTTTTTGTGCTTTCGGAATATGATACAAATTCTTCAAATAAGGTTGCTCGCAGCAACTGTTAGCTTACTTATATTAAAGCAAAACTGATGGTCACCTTATATTACTGTTCGACAAGAGTAACATTTTTATGCATTTTTTTATTGCACTTTCAGAATGTTATATTATCTACACCCCTCTATAGCGCTGTCTTCTTTACAGTTACCTATTCAAGTATGCTCGTAAGTCATAACCAACTGGTTGGTACTTATTTACCATATTATTTTACCAAATTTTGTAAAACCGTTTTTTGAGACTGTATAAGAATATCAATTTTTTATCTAACGATTAAAATCCAGCATCTCTGAAACGGAGCGTTTCCAGGCACTATATCTCCCTAAATACTTGTCATTCCTTCTAAAACACTCTGCCTATTGATGCATCTCAATAGAGTGTGTTCAAGTCAATTACACAGAAAAAACTTGATGAGCAGTCTCAAACAAAGAATATCATTTAATTAGAGTGTTCGATATGCATGTTCCAACATTGGCACTCCTGCTTTGCTAAGTCTGTGGATTAGCTATTTATGTGATATCAGTCTCAACGAAGGACTCGACGTTCTTGCTACGCTCCCTAAGGGTGCCAACTGNTTTTCCTTTATTTTACTTTCGTTGATAGTTTTATGACAACCAAGTCTAGAGAATTTTTATCACAAGCATATCAAGTTGACCATGACTTACACCTTATCTGCTTGATTTGATAAACAAATATGAACTTCAGTCAGTCTCGATTAGGTTTCTTCGTACAGACCATATTGATGACGCATACGCATTGTGTCATGAACACGATAATATTTTCTCAAACAATTGAATAAATATTTTTTTCTTTATTTCAGTTCTGTAAGTTTCAGTTTCTATGCAAATTTTTCTTTAGAAATCCAAAACTAATTTCGTTCAAAATCTTCTGTGGTCCCGTTGTAAGTCATCAAACAATAGAGAAATTTCACCAAAAATGCTGCGTTTTGCATGTATATTTTGCTATTAAATCAATTTTTTCTCCTTACTTTCTGAAATTCCTCTTCTGACTCAAACACAAAGCCAAGATCCGCATACAACTCAACTATTGTGACCGATTAATGCGAATCGCGGCCTGTTAATAAAAATTTTGCTGGCCAGTGTGTGTGTGTTGATAACAAACAATGCGTTACCCTGCGTCCATCCGCACCGTTTCCTGAGTCCGCTGCACTCCGGTGTGCGCCTAGCTTTACTTCCTATTAAAATATAAAAATAAATACGTTTCACTGCACTGTATGCTATTATGTTACTTACAATTATTAGCTCATTATAGTTTACATTGTATTCCTCTATTGTACCACCTTCTCTAAAGTATTATTTCCTTATCTCTGGTTGCCTTGGTTCCTGAACGAAAGGTTGTAATATAGTATTTATAACAGGTTCAAAGTATTCGTTAAATTCTCTTGTAACTAGGCATTAAGTTGCTGGTTGTACTGTAAAAGGTACAATAAATTTAAATTATTAATACCCACTTGACTTTTATTCTGTTTTCGTCGAATTCTGGTCGGGTACCTGATTTACGACGGTCCCAATAACAATCCGATTGAAGTGAAAATTTGCCATTGTAAAATTTATAATCGGCAATTGTGAGCAATCAAAGAAAGGTACGATAATAACAAAAGTTTATATGTCGTATTTGACTTTCGTGTAAAGGGGCCTATCACCAAAGTGGAAAGTTATTGTTGGAGCATGGAGCGGTAAACTTTATTGGAGAGCTAATTACCGGACCTATGTTTGAAAATTGGCTTTTGCTCGCTGAATAGCACTGTGGGATCATTCGGCCTTTAAACTTTATTATGATGGTCGGTCTAGGGATTCGTTTCGTGACTTATTGTCAGAACTGTTGGATACCCTGTCCCTTTCTCTCTTCTAATAAATACGTACCTACATAAATTTCTTATAAAACCAGAGCCGTGTTATTGTTTTACTGTCACAACTCGAAGGACAAACAAGATGAAATTAATAAATTACCATCTGCCAAATGTTTCTTTCAATGCTTTACCTTATCTAAATTATTTTCAGTAATTGTCCAGAATTGGGGCTCCACACCAAAATCGCTCCAAAAATGTTTTCATCGATTTGCGGTCATTATATATATTAGAATTAGATATTAGAAGGCGGGGAAGACAGTTTTTTATGACTTTATCAATAAAAAAGAAAGAATTTTTTGAATGATAATTTCTCAAAATTGCCCAAAATTCTGGGTAATTACCTGCATTGGTGACGCTATTGTTTGGTTAGGTAGATTTATGACAGATTGGAGTTTATTTAATGTCCCTGCCTTANCGAGAATTTTTTATATTTTTAATAGGACAAAAAACGCTGTATTTAGTAACCCTTGTGACCCTTCCCCGGAACACTAGGGTTCCGCGGAATACTATTTGGGAACTGTTGTCCTAAACAATGTTCATATGGCGCTACTTTTAGTCGAATTTTAACAATTTATGTATAAAAATGTTGATGTCATACGTTTCATATTCAAATCATCAAAAAACATTATTTGACGTAAGTCAAAATCATCAAGAACTTTATGATGCTGATTCGGCGTTGGTTCGTAACCATTTTCTTCATGTTTTTCATTATCATTGATTGTTGATGTGCTGAGGAACTACTCAATTGGACTATACTTTCTTCTCCCATTGCCATTATGTTTTTAGTGGAAGGTATGTCTTGCGGGTGGTCCCATTTAAATTTGATGAAAATATGCCACCTTCAAGGACAGAAGTCGGTTTTTATAAGTGTCAGTATATTTAAATTATGTTATACATTTTGAGTGCTTTACAGTTGCAAATGTTTTACTGATATTTCACTTTCATTGTAGACCTCATAGTTTCGTCAGTAAAACATCAGGTACCTACCTCTTAATAGCCAAGAGCAGATTACTTACCTTAACTTAATTAACGACATCGAATAGGGCGGCTGCCGTTTCTCTAATTAGCGGTTGTTTAACTGCCGCTATTTTCTAATTATGCAGCCATTGTTTAACGAGTAGGGCACATTGTTTAGGCAATTGGTAGTTAACTCGCATTAACAATTATCGTGTTTGTAAAATCAGATATACCGATGCATTTATGTATTTACAGACCTCTTCCAAAGGGTTAAGAGACAACACCGGCCAAGTCTGACCGTAATTTCACACTAAGTGTTCTCTAGCACACGAAATGTATCATTAAATGTAATCGTTAATCCACTGCATTAAAGTAAAAGGTAAACTTTTATTTCATTGGCGAAATTTTCTTATATTTCCTCAAATTTCAACAAAAAAAATTGATTTGGCGTAAAAAAGAAAAGCGTTTCTTTTCTTTGGTTACTCAAATGTATTTAAAGAAATTTTCAATAACAAAACCCAGACCAAGACCAAAACTAGAAGTGTTTGAGTAAGACCAAGACCAGTTCCAGTACCAGTCTTGGTATTGATCTTGGTTTATGTGTACCCTTATATTAGATGTTTGTCATTTACTTCTTTGAAATTACTTTAACCAAAATTCATAATTAGATAATAATTGTAAAATAGCGTAAGAAACTTCATCCCTACCGGGTGTCCCACGACACTAAACAGCCTGTTTTATTTTAGAAACTGTAAATATCAAACATCATTTTGTTTTTCCTGTTATTTTACAGTCAATCTGGCGAATTGTTCAACTTTTCAATCTTCTTTCTGACTATTACAGTCGGATATCTATGTCTAACCTATATTTAAATAACATCATTTATTAAGATAATACAATAACTTGTAAAACTGCGTGTGATTTTAATTTTTTTTTTCAAAATTTTTTGTTTTATAAAAAATACCTTTTCTTTGTTTTAGGTTGTGGTCATTATTACCATGAAACAATTGAATATTCGAAAGGAGAATTTCGACTAGACATGTAAGTTCATTTTACGTATTTTACTATGAAAGTATCAAAATATAGTTTTTGAAAAGGACTGAATATTATTTTGGAAAGTTGACATGAAAAAGTCTAAAGTAACACTGACTTTTTGCAGTAGATCATTAAAATATTTCCTTTTTTAACGAACAACTCGTACATTAATGTTATGCATACAGTGTACAGTATACATACATACTTAGAGTTGTAAAAATGTTTAAACGGATGTTTTATAGAAGCGAAACATAAATTGTTAATAATTTAATTAAAAGAACGCGGCGTTCAAGTGTTTGCCTTGCCGCATTCGCGAATTCATCGTACATATGTACGCTATTAATGATGCAAGGGCGGTGGTTGACGTCGATGGTGGTGGTGGGGATTGTGCGAAGGCTACGCGACTATAAAATATTAAAAGGGGCGAGTTAATTGATATAGAGAAAAGGTGTCGGCATCCGACACTCATTAATTTACAAAGAAGAAAAGCCAAGAGTCTGAATCGAAATTGCGTTTACCAACAACCACCACCACCACCACCACCACCGTCACCATCACGGCTCCTTTTCCTTCTCCCATTTTGTGAATATACCATTAATTAATTTTTACACAAAAACCCCTTTAAGTGCTGCTCGCCGTAAATATGTACGATAGGCTTCGTTTACTGTGATCACGTTTACCACGTTTATTATTTCTATCTATTATTTAGCCGAACAAACCGTTCAATTTATTATTTTATTATATTCACGTTCCTATTTAACCTATACAAACTTTTCTTGCAGTTTATTATTAGTAAATTTAATTATGTGTATATTTAGAGACCAAGGTTAATTGAAATGTAAAGTTATTTGGTTATTGAAAAATTATTTCCTAAATTAAACGCTTTCGCAGGGCATGAAATTCTAAGACAAAATCTTCTTGTTTTCAATTTATACATATATAATTAGTATCCAAGGCGTAAATTAATTTCTGTAAGACACTACTGAAAATAACTTTCTGCCTGCATATAATCTCAAATTAATGTTGTGTAATATGTGCAATAAAAATGCTAAATAACTAAAAACATCAAATGTATTGCTTATAAAAATCGACGTACATATTTCCGAATTGTGCCTTATGCAAACTTATCTTGTACCTACAAGATTATAATTTTCTGGATCTAAATCCTTCATGATCTACATCTAATGTATTACTTGTGTTTATTAAATCCTTTTAACTACTAATGTTCAAATTATCCGGCTCGAAGGACCAATCCAAATAATACTGAAGGCCTTCTGCTTTCATTTAACATATTTTCCGGAATACCTTATATTTATTACATCATACTATTTGACTAGATATTTTGACTTCGTTCGATTCGTCAATCTATGCAAAATTGTACTCTCTACGGCTTAAGAGAAGCTTTAATTAGTTTGAAATACCTATTTTTTTTTTCATTCGTATTTTTCGATAAGATTCGAAACTCAAATCAAAACTAACAGTAAATCTACGTAACAAAGTAGTTTATAAATAGACAAATGATGTTTATTTTGAAATTTTCCACAAATGCAGTGAGCTTTTGTTCATTTAGACAGAATAGGACGCTTTATTTAGGTGGTGTCCTTTTAAAATAAATGGCGGTTTGAATATTAGGTTTGCATGACGAATTGTGTCGCCCCAACTTTAATTGCCTCAGTTGACTGTAAGGTCAAAACATGGGAAACACAATTTAGGCTTTCTCTTGTAGTTTATAACAGGCTGTAAACAGCTATTGCTGTACACATTTTTTGCATTGTTTCACATAAACAGAATGGGTCTATACCAGTAATAGTTTCTATATACTGCTACCATATAATTTTTATGGTAGTTATTGTCTCCTAGTTGACAGAAATACAACAGTCGGTAAACCCAAGAACTGCTTCTTGGAAGATCGACCCCAAATAAATAATAATAAAAGGAATTTCACAGTGTCACTGATTGTCTTATTGTGAAATATTTTTTAAATAAGCGTAAAGTCGTAATAGACTTTTCCAATGTTTCAGTTTTTTCAATAATTCTATTCTAAAAGTTATCTCAAAAAATTAACTGTAATATATTTATTCAGCTAATTCAATTACAAAATAATTTTCAGTAGATATTTTTGATTGAATCTCTTGAATTAAAAGTAATATTATTATGATATGTGTAATTGCTACATCGATTCTTAAGTTTTTGTTATTATGGTCTAAAGTTATAAAAGAATTAAGCTTTTCAATTCTTTGTTGGTGTTAAATTCAGGTAGAATAAATTAGAGTAGGGTAGGACCGCCCTTAACAAAAAGAAATCACCTTTATGCTTACAAACGGTTAATTTGGTAATTCGTATATTTGAAACACAACACTGCATATGTGCGAAACGTCGATGGGGGCAACGGAAAAAAGCATTTTATATGGTCTTATAGAGAAATAATGAAAATATCGTGGACAGAAAAGATTAGAAATAAGGAGATATTGAATAGATCAGGATTCCAACGGACGTTGTAGAAGTCCTTCTGAGCCAGTTAGTTAAAGATATATTAGAGGCAGGAACAGAAGTAAAGAGGAGTAGAGGTAGATTTTGATTACATTACTATTCGTAAATAGATAGATGTAGGATCCTTGTAAGTGTATTTTTGAACAAAATGTATTTACTTCCATGATAAAGACAGTGATGTGTTTACCATGAGCTGCAGTTTTGAATAGTCATATAAGTTTTTCATTTATTTTTTTTAAACAATGGTGTTTTGTGCCATAGTTGGGTCCCAAGGAGCAGCAATAAAAAAAGTATAGACTTTTATAATTCAGATTCCTGTTTGTTTTTTACTCTGATCATTTGTTAGACAATGATTATTGATCGATTATTAAATCTTCCAGGTAATAATAGGTATTTTAAACTAGATACTATCCCTTCGATCAAGTTTTTGTATTAATTAAACATATAATCCACATGCCCTCCTTTATTGATTATTTTAATGCCTTAAAATATTACAAATTATGTCGCTATTATAAATTTAATTATGTTGTGCTTCGATCTAAAGTACGTGTTGAGATTATCTATTCAGTTACAAAGTAGCAGTTTTAAAAGGAAATAGACATTTGTCTTGCATTGGTAATATTACCTACACGGACACTTTTTTGCTGTATCACCTCTTTATTATTTCGCGGTGCAGCGGGAATCGGATTCGACTGATTCGGTGGTGTTGCGGGCGGAGCGCGGTACGTTCGGTTACTACGGACAGGCTCACGGTAGCAATCCCATTCTCTGCGTGATGTCTCTTTTGTCTTCGACTTTCAGAAACGATATCATCACGGTCTGCAATGTGCCACATTATATTTTCAATTAACGGGATGACAGGGATTTTCTTTGTGCCACTTTGATGCGATGATTCGCTCCCGCTTACGCCATTAAACGTTTTGTTTCGAAAGGTGCGCTCTGTCGTCTTCTCTTCTGGCGATGCCCTCTTTCGGCGTCTTTCTTCTTATTCATTATCATCGTCATCGCTGATGCTCTCGCTTTCTTTTTCTTATTATTCGACACCTGACGATTCATTTTCGAATAATATTCGATACTCATCATCGCTTGCGTACCTACCGGAATAAAATACAATTAGGTAATAAAAAAAATGACAACAGGAATGTCGGTAGGTAACGCCTCAAATAGGTTCCACAAAAAATTTTACTCTAAAGTACCTTCGTATTGTTCATTTATAATAATAATAAAATATTAAAATTTTCATCGCAATGCGTTCTTTATTTACAACAGTGCCCACCTTGATATCAGCCATTTTTTCCTTTATTTTACTTTCGTTGATAGTTTTATGACAACCAAGTCTAGAGAATTTTTATCACAAGCATATCAAGTTGACCATGACTTACACCTTATCTGCTTGATTTGATAAACAAATATGAACTTCAGTCAGTCTCGATTAGGTTTCTTCGTACAGACCATATTGATGACGCATACGCATTGTGTCATGAACACGATAATATTTTCTCAAACAATTGAATAAATATTTTTTTCTTTATTTCAGTTCTGTAAGTTTCAGTTTCTATGCAAATTTTTCTTTAGAAATCCAAAACTAATTTCGTTCAAAATCTTCTGTGGTCCCGTTGTAAGTCATCAAACAATAGAGAAATTTCACCAAAAATGCTGCGTTTTGCATGTATATTTTGCTATTAAATCAATTTTTTCTCCTTACTTTCTGAAATTCCTCTTCTGACTCAAACACAAAGCCAAGATCCGCATACAACTCAACTATTGTGACCGATTAATGCGAATCGCGGCCTGTTAATAAAAATTTTGCTGGCCAGTGTGTGTGTGTTGATAACAAACAATGCGTTACCCTGCGTCCATCCGCACCGTTTCCTGAGTCCGCTGCACTCCGGTGTGCGCCTAGCTTTACTTCCTATTAAAATATAAAAATAAATACGTTTCACTGCACTGTATGCTATTATGTTACTTACAATTATTAGCTCATTATAGTTTACATTGTATTCCTCTATTGTACCACCTTCTCTAAAGTATTATTTCCTTATCTCTGGTTGCCTTGGTTCCTGAACGAAAGGTTGTAATATAGTATTTATAACAGGTTCAAAGTATTCGTTAAATTCTCTTGTAACTAGGCATTAAGTTGCTGGTTGTACTGTAAAAGGTACAATAAATTTAAATTATTAATACCCACTTGACTTTTATTCTGTTTTCGTCGAATTCTGGTCGGGTACCTGATTTACGACGGTCCCAATAACAATCCGATTGAAGTGAAAATTTGCCATTGTAAAATTTATAATCGGCAATTGTGAGCAATCAAAGAAAGGTACGATAATAACAAAAGTTTATATGTCGTATTTGACTTTCGTGTAAAGGGGCCTATCACCAAAGTGGAAAGTTATTGTTGGAGCATGGAGCGGTAAACTTTATTGGAGAGCTAATTACCGGACCTATGTTTGAAAATTGGCTTTTGCTCGCTGAATAGCACTGTGGGATCATTCGGCCTTTAAACTTTATTATGAT